TTGAGGCCGGCAACCATTCTCGTTGCGGCTCGCCGGATACGCTCCATGAAGGTGACGTCTTTCGTAAGTCCTGAGTAGACAACTTGGTTGGGGTATTCCAGGAGCGGTCTGACGTAGGCCCCATAGAGTAGTTAGAAGTCCATACGAGTGATACGGGACAAGGTGAGTCGGATCATCCGTAAAATGGCGGATGCCTTTTGGGCTGATTTCTCATGGTGCAGTGAAGAGGAAAAGTTTGAGGAGACCCAGATACCCAAATCTCTTTTGGCGTCCATCCTCATGATGTTTTCTGGTTCCTTCTCACCATGCATAGCAAAGACACTCGGTGAGTCTCCTCAAGATGACATATGGACGCACTTTTCGTCATTTAGAGGAAGGTGCCGGCCCAACGACCATTGCTTGGCAGAGTCTACATCCATTTGGGGGCACTGGCTTTGAAACTCCAGGATTTCCGGTCTTCCGCAAAAAGTAGACATGGACTTGCAAGAACGTCTGGGAGGTCGTTGACGTAGATCAGAAACGGCAGTGGTCCCAGGACGGAGCCTTGGAGAACTCCAATGGAGAGCGGCGCCGGATAAGGGTTGGTCGGGCCTATTATCACTCGGAATGATCTGTCTGATAGGAGCCCCCTGCTCCAGCGAAGGATTTTCCCCTGAATCCCGTAAGACTCGAGTTTGTGGAGCAGCAGGACGTGTGGGAGCCTATCAAATGCTTTCGAGGAGTCGAAAAATATGGCATCCGAAATGAGTCCTTTGTCCTTGGCTTGGGTTAAGCTGTCCATAAACACGAGCATGTTCGTCACGCAAGAGCTGTATGGGAGAAATGCGTGTTGAACTGGGGATATCAGATTGCTGGAAGAAAGGTGATCTAGGACAGCTCGCTTCAGAATGCGTTCCATCACCTTGCATGGCACGCTAGTGAGACTTATAGGCCTATAGCTGCCAGGCGATAGTCGATCACCAGTTTTGTAGACTGGCGTGACAATGGCTTCCTTGCAAGCAGAGGGGAGGCGGCCTTCGTCAAGCGACTGGCGAAAAATCAGGCATAAATGAGCCAGCGGCTAGACGCACAATGCATTTTTCTGCAAAACCCCTGCGGGCGAAATAAAAACTTTAACGTCAAAATATTGCACTTCCTTGCATATATGCGTAGACTGAAAATCCCTCTCACCTGCCGTCATTTTTTGCGATTTGTTTTAATCGATGACATTTAAAAATTATTGGCGCACATTCGGCTTTGAACTTCGTCTGCTATGGCTTCGGAAGTGGCTTTCCTTCAGAAATTTGTGGGTGTATCGTTTTCATCCTTCACGGCATTTGAGAAGACCTTAAATGAATACATGAAGGATAACTTTGTGATATTTGTGCGTTCATCCAGTAATCGAAGCACCAACACTATTTTGCGTTACGAATGGGTGTACTACAAATGCAGCAGGCGCCCTCCAAGACCAACGGGAAGTCGTGGAATCCGAAGAAGCTAGTAGGCCGAGTGTATTTTCTAATAAAAAAAGTACGCGAAGCGCCAGCTGTCCAGTGCGGTTTTGTCTACAGAGGCAAAGGAACCAGCTGGCAGTGACCTCTTATTTTCTGGAACACAACCACAAACTGTCAAAGTTTCTGTATGATCGGCTTCCAGTCAATCGATGCCTAACCGAAGACGAGTTGGGCACTTGCCAGGCCCTGCTGAGCTATGAAACGCCGTCATCTGAAGTGCGACAGTTTGTGGCGGATGAATTCGGAAAGATTCTTACCAACAAGGATATACACAACTACCGCCGGAAGTGTCGACTGGCTATGTTGAGTAGGTGCCGAATAGTTGGGTTATATTGTAGCAGACGATATGCCTTCGGTCCTGGTAAAACTTCGGGAAACCGGACGCATCCTTGTGTGTCACGGAGAGGAAGGTCACTATAGCCACGTATGTTTCTCCCGATGGCAGCAGATAGCGTTATTCCGTCGCTTTCCAGATGTAGTAAATGTGGACGGGTGAGTTTTTTGAAGCATCTAATATTCGGCATTTAGATATAAACCATGCACATTCTTGATAACGGACGGCATTGGAACCGGGCCTCCGGTTATGTATGCGTTCGTAGAGAGCGAGCAGTTTGCTCCCATGCGTAAACTGTTCGGCTTATTCAAAGAAACGATGGGCGAAGCGTATCCAATCAGAGACTTGTAATGGACAAGTTGGCGGGGCAAATGCGTGCAGCAAGAGTCGTGTTCGGCTGTGACATTATACTTTACTACTTTCATGTCCGCAAAGCCATCAGGAAGCACGTAGGTATGATTTAATATCCATGTATTTTGGTCATAGACACATTCTGCGAACAGCCGGCACATATTTACCGCATGGCTCGCCTGGACAATGCTGTACAATATGTTTTATGTTCATAATATTACAAGCACAGATTCCGACAACAGCTACAGCTTCTGCGCCGAACCGATCCCCGATTTCTCTCCTATCTTACGGCTCGCTGCTTGTACATCACCCGAAAATGGGCCGTACGCGCACACTCCGGAATACTTCATTTCGGTAGTGACCAACAACCGACTGGAGAATGTAAACGGGCGCCTTGAAAATCGGGTGCACCACCCCGACAAGTTGGAGAGGTGTCCCGGCACGCCGATTGCCCCATGCGGGAGTTTGAGATGCATACGTCGTACCACTGCTACAGGCGGCGAATCCTGGAGGGTGACGCCTACGTTCTAAACGTAGTCTGTCGAATGATGACACATGCATACTCTGTCGTTTTGGCGCACTTGGGTCCGCGACCGCCGCGGCTGCCGCATGAAAGTGTCGGAATAAACAAGGTGAGGTCGAGCAACGTAAACTAACTTATAGTTTGTGGTGCAAACACCCAGATGCTCCCAGACTGCCGACACCCGTGCTGGAGAATGCACATGCCCTTTCTATCAAGTGATGTTGCTCCCCTGCGTACACCCGTTCTCTGTATTTCGAGATCAGTCCGTTCCGAGCAGTAAGAACTATTCATCGTTGACTTTTTCTTAGCTTGCTTTCCAATTCACCAACGATGGTTGTCAGATTAAAACCTACCGGAAAAAGGTGTACCCCTTACACTTGTTCCCAAACCACCTCCGACAGCTTTCGACGGTCTTCGTAAACAACTGAATCGGGTGATGGATGAGCTTCAGAAGCTGGAACCCAGGAGGGCCACCGCCATATTTATGCGGTTGATTGTTCAGGGACAAATCCTGCTGCATCAAGCCTCAAAGTCTGCAAACGACGACCTGCCGTTGGTGGTCAAGGATACCGCACCTCAATCCAGATGGCGGTCTGTAAACGCTGACCTGGGGTTCTGTGTGCTCTGTGACCGGCCTACTACTACCAGTGACCGCTGGTGTACAACGGATCGCGTGTCATACCACGCCGACTGTTGTGGCGGTGAACCCTGCCCACTGTGTGGTGGTGCTCTTCAGGCTTGTCCCAAAGTTGAGTCCACATGAAAATAAATCACTTTTGGTTCTTGGCTCTGGGTACATCCAGAAAACGCAGAGGTGTGCTTGCTACCCGGTCCGCAAAGAGGGCGTCTTATGACGCTGACCTGGACCGAAGCACAGATTCCCAGCACAGTGTGTCCCGTAAGTCTATGTGCTCCGAAAAGTTTGTCTGTTAATGAGGCCCTATGCATTGCATGTAAATCTCGCATTTTTTGAGAGGTGCAGTAAACAGGCATGCGAAATAACCGCTGAAGATGGCATTGTGTGAACAGGTATCTACGACAGCATTGTCGCTGCAGTGAATTTTGGGGTAAGTATCTCCACCTGTTTGTCGGCCGCCCGCCTTATGGTGGTATTTCGATGAGCTGAATGATATCTTCCTCTCATTTCAGGACTTCAACGGCCAAATGAACGCTCCTCACGAAGAAGAAAATGCACCTCCCAGAAAGACATGCGTAAACTTCAAAAATACCAATTCATCTCAAAATTAGAAGACGTCCATTTCAAGCTTTTTCTCAGTTACAGGTGGATGGGCGAGCTAGTTAGTTAGGCATCGCGTACCCCTAGCCGCATGGTAGTGGTGTGCGTCGGTTAAGATCGACGAACCTCGAGGTCTTTCTACCATAATTCGGAACCTATAATAAAAAACTGTAATTTGCCAGCCAACGTGCACGATGCTTAGCAAATAATTAGCGTGCACTACAGAATTTTTACTAGAAACAAAGAATCGTCAACCAAAATTTGTTTGCACGAATGCGCCTACGCATATGTTGTATCTCCAAAGGCCATTTAGATTCTAGAA